GAATCCTCATCAAAATATAAATAGAAATTAATGTAATACTAGGGTGTTAATCTAGGTTGTCTCCACAAACTTTGGTTGTAAATACACATTGAACATGTTGTAAACATTACTAAGAAAGCAATTAAGTGGGCGAGGATTTGGTTGATTTCCAGATTCAATATAAAGAGAAGTCAACGAAATTATCAAATTCAATCAATAACACAGAGCAACTCCTATTTCATTCACATGATTCTATCATTATTCCTCTCAACATTTAACACTCTTCCTCTTCCTTTGAATTAGGCTAATTCAACAAGCGAGAATTAACCTTAAAATTTCATACAAATTTAAACAAATTTAATGGACTTCAATCCCTTTTCCCAAGATTAAGCAACCTTAGAAATAAACCCAAAATTAAGCAAATCAAGTTTAGAATCTCATTAAAACAAATTAGAGTTAATTACGTAATGTCCCCCTTATTTAACCATTAATTCAATTCAAAGGATTGAAAAAAAGAAATTCATGAAGGAAAAGGAATTGTATTAACATTCATAACCTAGGAATTCAAGAATCCAAGTGAACTCACTATGGATTACAAAAGGTTTAGCCTTCCACAAGGATGAGTCTCACAAATACAAGATGAAAATAAAGAGAATTTAATGACATGAATGTAAAAAAATCAAAGAGAATTAAAGGGAAAGTAAAAATAAAACCCTAAGTTGGATCATTGGTTGTCACCCAAGACTGACCTAAGCTCTGTCAATGTTTCCAAAATAGCAAAAATCTAAAAGTGTAAGAAAAGATCATAACCCTAATTTCTAAAAATCTATTTATAGTGAAGTGAGTGTCGTCCATAGTAGCTACTATCATAATGCACAACTTCCAGTCTTTTACATTCCTCTCTGAAGTTGTCACTATTGCAGGTGATAGTGGCTACGCACGCTCTGCACCAGGATGTACTCATTGTAGTATCTACTATCACTTTTGATAGTAGCTACACGTAGGTCTGCAGTATCTTGAGCTTGTTGTAGTGTCCACTATTGCTTATGAAAGTGGTCGCTTTAGTCTTTCTTCTGGACTTAGCTTGTTGTAGTGTCCACTACACTTTTGAAAGTGGTCACTTTCACCTCAAATTTTCTCAAAGGCTAAAAATCTTTAGAATAAGTCTGAAAATTCTTGCACAATTATTCAAATGATCAAAATTATAAATTATATCTATGTAAATCAATGTAAATTAACCAAAAATTAATAAACCTATGATATTTGATCTAAATGAAATTTTCATCTTATTTATACTTTCTAAGTTTACTTTTTCTATTAAAGGATAATAAAAAGGCAAGTAAAAATTAATTAAAATATAGATTCATTAACTCACCAAAGGTGGCTGTAATCTTAAAAGGTCACTACAGTTAAGATCCAATTCCTGATGTTGACCACAACAGTAGGGAGTCTACTAGATGTGGGACATCAAACAAAGGTCAAACTCTAGCTAAGGTTTTCATGATAGTCAAATAGGATGTGCATCCAAAATAACACCCCTACATAACCTCTCTAATCCTAAGCATACTCAGACCTGAGTATAGGGCCCCGCTCAAAGTGTGTGATGAATGTGTAAGTGGTGTGTGAGGGAGCATACAAACCTTATCAACTCAACAAAAATATAAGCTGTAAACAACATAAAAATACCACAAAAAATTATCAATAGTCATATATCCTAGGGTTAACAGCAATATTAATAAAAATATATATAAGATTACAAAATACATGCACGAAATAAATACACGAATAAAAAGAAACATAATACAATTAATTCAAATAATAAATAAGAAAAGATAAAGGGATTAAGCAAATAGAAACAAAATTACACAAATTTGCACAATTAATTATCAAAGGCTTAACTCTCTAAAAAATGTCCCTAGTGGAGTTACCATCTGTTGCAACTAGACAGACATAACAGTACGACAAAAAGGTGTTAAGAAAAACATCTTTTAAGAATAAAAACATTTTCTAACAAATTAGAGGAGTCGTTACCAAAATTTATTTTTAGAAAACCTTGGAAAAACTTTTAAAATAATATGATTTTTGAAACCAAAAATGAGTTTGGGAGTCATTTACGTGTAAAGAAAGTATTAACACCCTACAACGTCTGACTAAAAATAGTTATCTTAAATTATTTTATTCTAGAAAAAGAAAAATATTTATTGAAATGTTAACTCGGTATTTTAAAAGAGAGAAAAAAATTATTTTAAAAATTATTTTGACTTGACGGATCCTATTCTCGCTCGTACATATCTCTAGGTGCAATGTGAAACTCAAAGTCACTTAATTCTATCTAAAAATTATGAAGTTAGTTGATTAAAATTAAGTTTAGTAAAAAATTATTTTAAAATTAAAATTATTTTCATAAAATTATAATGTTAGATCACATAACTATATTGCAAATCGTTAAAAATATTTTATTCGTAAATAAAGTATTTGAATTTTAATTTCTATTATGATTAATGTTGAAAAAAATTTTAAATAACGTAAACTATACATAAATCTCTTATAATTTATTGGATAATTGAAGGTAATATAAATCACACATCAATATTACAAAAATTTGTATAATAAAATAAAGAAATGATTGATTATTTAAATTATCAAAATTAGAAATATAATGTAAGAAAATTTAAAATATGAAATTAATTATATTTAATGAAAAAAATAAATATATTTGAATTGATTAGAAAAAATATTTAATAAAAAGATTAAAAATTTGTTTGATAAATTTATGTTGTATAAAACCTAAGGTAACATTAATACACATAGGTTCTAACAATTTATAATGCATAAAGTTAGAGTCACTACCCATTAGCATTATAAATTATTATAATTATTCTATGTGTTTGTTTATAAGTTTATTATGAATGAAATTAATTTATCAATAAAAAATAATAAAACTATTGATTCATAGTAATATCATGTAATAATAAAACAATAGCAAAGACAATAATATCAATAATAATAACAAATTGAATATTATTAGAGAGAGAATATTTTTACTTTACTTTTTTATTTACTCCATCACTACCATCATCAAAAATATAAATTAACTTATTCATTATTACTTATTAATAACAATAATATTATTAGAAATTTTATTTACTTTTTATTTTAAATTACTATTACTACTTTTAATATTATTATTATTACAATTTGCTAGCAAAAGTAAAATAAATAATAATAATAATAAATTCAAAGAAACTATTGAAACATAAAAGACATTCTATTTATTTATAATTATAAACGTTACTGAAATAGAAAATAATATACATAGTAAAAATAATTAAAATAACAAAACTAAAGAGAAAAAAAGGGAAAAGGACTAAGCGACCTAAGGTCACTGGACACGATCACATAAGAAATTGGCAAAATGTATAATTACGAATCAGAAAAGTTAATATACAAATCCAAAAGCCATTGTGCAATTGAAAAGGAGTTAGCATGAAATGACCGATTCGATTGACGTACGAGAATGGCAGATCTACAACACAATGCTAAGGATATTGTACTCCAGTTTTAAAGTAACTCTTACGTTGAATCAAATCATATTTATTAAATTAATAAAATAAAATTAAAATAAAAAGGAAAGGATAATTCGACTTATTAGTATTTCTATCTTATTTATTTTTACTTTTTCAACAAATAGGTGGTGGATATAATCAGTATATTGCAAAATTTTCATTTCTAGGACCAAAATTATTTTCCAAGTTTTTATATATTTTTTTTGTATAAACAACATTTTATTCTATAAAAATTTGAGATCAACCATGGGAAAGAAAAAAAATAGTATTCACATGTGACAAAATAATTTTTAAATAGAAAAATTGTTTAAAAATAATATTATTTTAAAAATTTATTTATAAAAATATTAAAAAATAAATAAGCTTGAATCTAAATTAAACTCGATGAAAATTATTGTGTTGATGCCATGAATCATAGTCTTGGTGCGCACCCCATGTGGTGGTGTTAGCTGAATGCTAGGATCTTCTTTTCATGTGTTTTTTTCCACTTCAAAGCTATTTTTCAACAAAATAATACTTAAAGTAGGAAAAATGTATGATAAGAAGGAAAAAATAGCTTAAACAACATACAAATGATATACATTTTAGACAAGGTAAGATTTTTTTTTCCTCAAGCAACTATTCACACAATTGTATAATGCAATGAGATAAGTATTATAAACATAAAACATCCTTTTAACCCTATAGCCTGATTCCTAGAAATAGAAAAACTATTTAGTCATAACATGATAATAACACATAGAATTTAAGTGCAATATGATGAGTTTAAAAGGATAATAAAGAAATAAAGAACAAGGAGATTGTATTATTAAGTACAAGTTAATTTTTATTTTTATTATCAAGAAACAATCAAAATCTCTATTTTGATATTTTTTAAAGATAAAGCATCTATCTAAAATTTAAAAAACCGCTATACTAATTATACATTACGCTAATTATGCATTAGAGAAATGTCATGAATAAAAAAACTTACTCTATTCAAAAGAATGAAACATAAAAATTAATAACAGCAACCAGCTGTGCAACTCAAGCTAAGAAAAAAATACTTTTTATAACAAAGTCTACTATTACACATTTAAAAAAAATTGATAGAAGTTTCAAACACATAGAAATTCAATATTTGATGGTAGCTGAGAAGATAAAGATTAATTTTTGTTATTTTAAAAATTAAGTTGTAAATATTTTCACAAAATTTTTAAAAGTTGAGTTATTTTATAAATTAAAAAAATATTTAAAATGATTAAATTTAATTTGATGAAGATAATGTCGATAAAATAAATATGGATTTTTTTGATAAATTATTTCTATTTATAAATAATTAGACTCAACTCTTAACAAAAACATTTTTTTTAATGCATAAAATAGTGTGGTACGCCCACGGCAGGTGAAGGTATTTTTACACGTGTGTCGGGTCTCCAAAGGCAAATAAAATAAACGAAAACGAGAATAATAAATATCCGGTGCGGTTGATACGTAAGAGCCAAACAGTGCCTTAATCAAAAGTGTGAGGAGGAGGAGGCAGAAGCATCGCAGAGAGGTTCATGGAAGAGGAAGAGCAACAGCAACAAAATTGGAAGAAGTCACAAAGGAAAAGAACCTCTTCTTCTCTCATCAATAATCTCGATGATGGTTGTCTTATGCACATCTTCAGCTTCCTTCCCCCTATTCCAGGTATAGCCCTCTTCTTCTTTCTCTCCAAAATCTCTATCTTTTCGCTCAATTCAACAACACCCACATTTTTGTTTTGTCAATTTTTGTTGTTTTCATGGATTGTTTTCGGATTGATCATCCTTCACATGCCTTTAGGTACATGAAGTAGGTTTTTTAATTTCTGTTGTGTGGGTTGTGACTACTTAGCATTTTTTTCGCATTTAGTTGGGTTTTGTGAAATGAAAAGCTTAGAATTTGAGGCTTGAACTAAATTTATGCCAAATTTTGGAGCCTAAGAATGGGTTTTTATGGATTATACAACCATGGTCATGTATAGCTACCCCTTCATTTTGGCACTAAGTTATTGGGGGTATGGTTTAGATCCCATTATCATGCCAACCCAACAATATCTACAACTCATGCAAGTATCAATATATTAATTTCTCCAGTAGTGTCTTCTTATCATCTCTATAGCCTCTATACCTTGCATAATCGCCCCCTAGAAGCTTTCTTTGTAAGTTAAATAATCCTTGACAAACGCATTTAGAAATCCAAATCCTAAGTCAAATAACTTGTTTGGACAGTGACTTATCTTAAAGGCGAATTATCTTAAGTTAATTACCGTTTCCTTTCAAAACACAATAACGTCTTTAATTGGACTAATCTCTACTTTCGTGTTAAATATAACCCATTAAGATCTATGGCAATTCGATGACTCCTCAAGAAACTTAACTTCCTTCTATGATCTAGAATCTCAGGTTCAACCTTAGGGTTTTCAACGTCAAACTTTTCTTTTCTGTCCTTCCCTTAATGTATCCTGCCAATAAGAGGTCCATCCAATCCACAAGCATTAAGAGCATTAAGTATTGAATCAAGAAAGTCAAAATTAGCTAAAAGTCATGGAAACATTCAAAACATTGTCATCAATCTTAGTTTGGTTATTCCTAATCGCTAGAATAGAAAACTATTCAGTCATATCCAAATTGCTAACTATTGTTGACCATCTAGACATAAGTATTATAAGAACAAATAAAGAAATAGGGAAGAACAATAGAATCTATCTCTGTCCTTTAGAAATCCTTGTTCTTGAATCTTTAAGTTCTATCTTCAATGATCATGGCTTTTGCTTTATGATCTTCTCTTGAGAATCTCTAGCCAATGTGTCTAATCTCCCTTCTAATGAACTCTAAAAGAGTTAAATAAATGTGGCTTAAAACTCCCGTGGGGCCTGTGGGCCCATAAGAGAAAACACAAGTAAAAAAGGTTAATTTGAAATCTGGGTGCAAACCACAGCCATGGTGGTTACTAGGGTGCAAACCACAGCCATGCTAGCTTTAAGGTCTAATTGGATCCTCAACACTTCTAGCCCTTGTCTTTCATTATTTGTTCTTTCTCTCAAGCTTTTATTTTCCTCTAAAATTCTAGATATCTTTTAGAAATTCACTGGCCTACAAGATAAACACACAAAAAGCAATAAAATGTTCCTAACAAGTAACAAATACAATGCATACTAAAATGAGTACTAAATGGATGAATATAGGTAAATTAGATGCTAGTCTATGTATGAATATTATGCAAATTATGCATGCATCAATCATTTCTGTCACAAAGTTGCTATTGAGTTTGCAGATCGCTTTAATACCGCCCTCGTTTGCCACAGATGGAATTACTTGGCCTGTCATCCTCGCCTTTGGCTTCGGGTAGATCGATCAGTCAAACACTTATCGGAACCTGGTGTTTTCCCAGACATTGAAACTGCAGTTTCTGCTTCAAGGCATGTAAAATTAATGCTATTTGTATATGATTCTAGATTTTACCTCAGGCTGTGGAATCTAATTTTCACTTCCTTTCTTACAGACCAGGTGATACCATTTTAATAGCAGCTGGTGGAAGTCATCGTGTCTCAAACATTCAAATAAATAAACCCATTTGCTTGGTGAGTTATCCGACTGCATGTGTGTGTGTGTGTAAAATGAGTTATTAGATTATTTATGCATTCAGTGAAACTTTTGAATCTAATTAAATTTTAGTCAACAACCCTTCATGAGACTAGGCATCTGGCTTCTATCTGGTGTTAAGCATGTGGCCTTTTAAATGGGGTTTCCCTATTCATGTTGTTGGATTGGGCAGCTTTGTTCCATTCATTTTCCTTGTTGTTTTATGTTTGTAGTTTGGCTGAGGACTATGGAGGATTCCTTATCCTTCATTCTCATTGTATTTTTTTCCCATTTGTCTTGATGAATTTTGTCTTTCATAAGAAAAAGATAAGAACAGTGTGTGTTTTTCTGTACAATAGGGTTATCCCAGCTCAACCCACTGCTGCAAAAAATGAATTTCATAAAAATTTTACGTTGTGAATTGGATTTTATAATTAATGCTAGATGAGTCGTTGCTTTCATCAAAATGATGGGTAAGACCCTCTAATAGGAGAATGATTAAAAGACCAAATTAGCGGCCAAAGCATTAGAAAAGGAATCAGAGCATAAGCACATCAAGAACTGGTCAGACACCAATGCTAACTGGAAGAATCTGTTCGGACTCCAACGCAATAGAACAACAGCAAATGGAGAATAAACAGCGCTACTTCCCTTTCGACTGTCGCCACTCCTGAAGTGATTTTGGGGCTGATGCCACATGTTTGAAAGTGTTCATTCCATGAAAATGATGCTTGAACTTCCATTTCTTGGGTGCCCAAAAAAGAACTAGAGTTTGCAAACAAGTTTTTTTACGTGTTTTTGTTTCCTATTATCCTATAATTGTTTTCTAAACTTTATTAGAGGATGTTAAAAAGATCTAGAATAAACAGACTGTTGTTGGTTTCATGTCGCTGCCAAATGCGCTGTACATGGATTCTTCACTGCCGATAATTAGTGTTTTTACCTTCTCGTTAGTTTAGCTCTTGAGGAAACAGTAAGTATTAATGATAGAAAATCCCTCCATTTTTTCTTTTCCAAAATCAATGTTGTTTGTTCAGATTGGTGCAGGTGAACTTCCAGATGACACAACACTCCTTTGTTCTCGAGGCTCGGACAGGTTTGCATTTAGACTGAACTGATGATTTTGTAAAGTCGTGAACTAAAGTGACTAACACTTACAATTTCAAGGACTGAACTGAGGGTTTACTTGATTTAAAAGGATAGGATAAATGATCAGATAAAATGCTTCTGAGCCTCATGCTATGAATGGAGATGTAGGTTCATAGTAGGGCATCTGTTGTCATCTTAACAATTATCCAGTAGCATGACAAGGACTCTTGGAAAAGGAGTAAACTCTCACTTTAATCCTTGAGATTTTAAGCCTCGGCTTCCTTAGTCCCGGGCCTTACGAAACCTTCATTTTAATTTGACTTGTATAAAATGACATTTAGTTTAGTCATTCTTCATTACTTTTTCCATTAATATTAAGGATTAAAGTAAATGAAGTTTTGTAAAGTTAATATTAAAGTGAAGATTTTGTAAAGTCAGGGATTAAAAAATGACAAATGCTTAGACGTTTGCTACCTCAGAAGTATCACTAGATATGTCATCTTCTGCAACACTTGGTATGTGCTGTTGGTTTTGTTTGAGCAGTGCATTGGAGTTCCTTTCTACTTGCAAATTAGCAAACTTAACTGTGAAGGCGGAGCTTGGTTGCTGCTTGCTGCATAGAAAGGGAAGGCTAACTATAGATGGATGCATACTTCAATGTGAATCTAATCCTCTTGATTATCTCTCATGTCCCATTGTGAGCACAAGCACAGCCAGTAGCAGTGAGGTGCTTTCCTCTCAAACAAAGGGTAATGGCGATGGTGTGTTTGTTTCTCAAACTCGTATTGAAGGAGGTGCTAAAGCTGTTTTGACAAGTGGGGATCTTGCCTTGCAACGTGTCAGAGTGATTTATGCTCGAACTTCACTTCTTTTCTGGTTTGACGTAGAGCAGGTGTGTGATCAAATTGATCATGACGACCCACTTTGATATCTTCTGTTGTTTTTCTCTGTAATCTATTTTAGTGGAGTGATTAAGGTATTTGTGATTCTTTTACTGTGCTTTCTTTGTTCTGTTATTATGTACCATTTGGATATGTCTAATGTAACTAAAATTCCAATTTATCATGATCTTTATAACGAGGCCTCTAAACTTAATGTAATAATTTGAACTTATTTAGACCTGTGAAAATAAATTTGATTATTACAAAACTTTTAGTTTATTTTGGTAAGTTCCTTTTTAGTTGCTTATATAAATATTTTTTTTTAATTTTTGATATATTCATATGCGATAATTGCTAACTGTTAATTAAGTTATTTATGTGCATTAATATCTGCAATCTTCAGATTACAAACTTAAAAAAGGCCTTTCGGTAGGTTTTGAACTTTGCCATTATAGAAAAAAAAAAAATTTCCGCTCAAATTACCGATTTGACAATCTAGTGGCCGTCAACAAATGACACCCTTTGCCTAAACATTTTTACTCGGTTTTGCACAAAATACAGCTCCAAGTGTAAAAGCTACTCGTTGAGTTATTGATTTCAACGCCAAGAAACGAAGTATTATTCTCAAATTCAAGTAGCAAGTACTACCTACTACGTACCTGTGAGTAAAGATCTTTTAACACAATCTTTATTAAAAATTTATATACTCTACTTGTTGATTCTCTTGTAAGTATAGTTTTGACTACATATATTATTAATTAATCAAATATTATTGTAATAATAATTTACCACTATTTCACTATGCATAATATTAAGAATATAATTAAGTAAATATTTTAATTGAAAAACTAATTAAAAACATTAGTTTGATGGATATAAAACTTACAAGCTATATTTATCACAATTAAAAAAATAATGTCCTTATGCCAGGAAAGAAAATATGCACAGAAATCATCTCTAAACAATGAAGATTGAAATATTATGGACAATTAGTACTTTAATCTTCTAACTTCCTTTTTTTTTTTAATTCGACTTTGTTCTCTATTTTTTTTTAATCCTCTATCATTTTTTTTTGGTTTTGGTTTAGTCTTTTTTTTTTTAATTCTTTAACCTCTAAAGTCAACTAAATAAGTCATTTTTTATTAACTCTCTTTAGTTACAAACTTTGCCTTCTCATCTCAATTCCTGTCATTGCCATAACCTTCATCTTCTTTTCTTCCTCCCATTTGTTTATTGGAGTTAAACATAATTAATGAATAGACTTATTTGATTGACATTTATGAAAAAAGGTTAAAGACCAAATTGAAATAAAAAATAAAGTTAAAAGACCAAAATAAAATAAATTGAATAAAATCAAACTGTAACAAAAAAAAAAGTTGAAGAAAAAATTTATTTTGCCAATATTATTTCAGGATAGATTACTTCTACATCTCTAGACAATCCATCATCCACTTAAACTAAGTTATCAAAAATCTGGAATTTTCCTTTGCTCAAACAACAAACAAGTTACTATCAGAACCACATTTTCAAACAAAATTCATATAACTAGACAGGATGTTTCTATATAAAGAACGAAACTATTATCATTTCTTTATGAGTAAACAAAGATGTGCAGTAAAAACAAAACAAAAAAGGTTAGGAGACCCTTGATATCATTGCTCACGATTGGACCAAAAATTAAAACGACTAGAGGGTATGTCCCCGAAGTCAGCAACCACAAAAAATGGAATTTTCCCATATCTTTTCCCGTCATAATTCTCCACTCCAATGCCTGATTGCATAAGGTTCATTTTCTGCTGCACAAATGATCATGAACATATATCACTAGCCAACGGTTCCTCAGAGAACATCACAGACAACCTGAAAATTGAGCAAAGGAATCTCATTAAATACGTTACTTTAGAAAAGAAAATCCATTTCAAATTTATTACAAAAGCCTTAGATGATTAAATGATAAAAAGAATAACAATTGTTTGACTGCCGAAAGTCATGAATTATATGATTCATACAAAGAATAGTATGTTTCATCTTTTAATGAAAATTACTTATCATTCAAAAGTAGCCCTCATCCCAAAGAACAAAAACCGTTGAAAGAAAGATGAGCACAGAATTTTAGAACGAAAGAAAATTGGATCACTACAGTAGATGGGTTGTGTGCCTTTGTCCCATCTCAATAAAGCCCAGATAGGATCTGGATTCTACTGGTATGTCACAATATTGACTGCACAAGCACAACTTCTACACTTACCTTTTTCTGTTTCAAATTAATACAGCTGCTTCACCAATTCTCTCAACTATTAGAATATAGATGCAATTACAAAATGCATGTATATAAAATTTAATTGCTTCCTCACCGTTACAAGACCAAAAATTGAATTAGCTGAACTCAACTCCCTGAAGTAGGTCTTTGTTTCACCACCAAATCATCAGCAGAGTAATAATCAGCTATAAGCCGGTACATATATGATGGGTTATGCCCCCCGCTGAGAAGAAATAATTTTCAAATCAGTGAATGCAGAAAAAGAAACCAATTAGTACACTCCTTCCTTGAGTCAACGATGAAGTAAAGTTAGACTTCACAATCAGTTTCAGTTCAACTTACGTGTCAGTAATAAAGAGACTAACAAGGTTCGGTGGTACATAATCAAATGTTGGATTAATGACATGGAGAGAACCAGCACCACTTGCATAATCCATGCAATCTGAGAATTCCCCAAAGTCAAGTAGCTCCGATGGGGATCTCAGCTCATTCAGTAGGACTTCAGGATTGTGTGGATACAAAGGGCACAACTGTCAATAAAATAAAGCAACTATGAATGAAAGCCAAACAGTTGGTAACTGAGATGATGCATGAAAAGTTGTCTAAATAGCCTAAACAAGGACTAAGATTAAATATTTATTTTGACCAGATATTTCGTTTTCCAAATTGTATTCTGTTATTAGATCAATCAACTGACAGACAACTAATTCACAAGTCTATTGTGCGTTAAAAAAAATTTGTATTCTTTCCCTCCCGCAGATTTGGCAGTGAACTATCACACCATTTCTATATTTAAACAGGACATCAAAGTCATAAGAATTTTGTTTCATATAAAATGACAGATGTGAGATAGACAGAGATTATATGTTAACAATTTACCTTGTGACTCCCAGCAAGTACAACAAAAGGAACGGCATGCTTTTGAGCTGCAAGTGCAACCATATGTAACCCTACCGGGGCAATAACTCCACCATTAGCCATGACAGCATGAGCTCCAACTATAACCTAAATAACGGTAAATTGAAATCAATTTAAATTCAGAATAAGATTCTTAAATCCATAATTTACACCAAGACCTTTGCATACCATGTTCACTCGGGATATCATAGCAAAAACTGCAGAATCAGTAATTACTGTGGTCTGTAAGCCTCGGGCAGCCAATTCTTTTGCAAGGAGATGGCCCTGATATCTAATTGCATACAGTGTCAAGTCAACATTAATTGGTTTTATGAAGAATATAAACAAATAAACCATAATCATGCCTTGCAAATGTTGATTGGACATAATTACTAACCTTGGGGCACCCTCAGCAACAAAGACCTTAAACGATCTCTTTTTCTCCTTTGCAGCATAAAGAAATTCCAACACTGTTTTTGAGCTGCCTAGTGTTAATATTACCTCACTGAAAAATAGGAATAAAAACAAATAAGAAAAAGAACAAAAGATTTTCTTCGTTTAAAAAAGAATAACATCATAATATCCAGACATAATCGCATACATCAATAGAAGAACATTTGCATTGATATTTAAGATACCAGGGATGCAAGAAAATAAATCATCAAATAAGTGAAGGAAAATGGACCCTAATGTTAGTCATGTAGATAAAGCAACCCTTGGCAACATGAAAACACCATTGAATTTGGGAAACATGGAAGGATGAAACAACTCATTTTCCCAATTTAAAGCAACAAACCATGTCAGAGTTACTTTCAAAAAGATAAAATATTAAAGACTTTGCTGTTTCATGTTGTAAATTACAAGGCATTTATCAAACATATGCATGAGATTCTAAGTTAATATCCTGTACTTCAAAATTGCTCTTTGACCAGTTATGTCAGCCAATAGTAGCTATCCCCAGCAATAAAATTGGCATAAGTTCATAAAATAATAAAATCATTATTTGCTTCAAAATGAAGGTAATGCAGTCCCCAGAAGAAGCTAATAAAACAAAAAGGGTTAACCAGCCTACAAGGCAAGCTTTAATTAAAGAGTAGCTTGATAAACTTAACCATATAAAGAGTTAATAAAAAATTAATTGGAATCTTCCATTGTGTTAATCTTTGCCATGTCAATCCAATCTTTCCCTCATATCAAAAAATGTAGAAAGCACTAAAACAAGCATCAGACATTTAACATATGCATTGCCTCCCATCTAAGTGTTATACATAATAAAAGTTTAGTTTGTGATTTGAGAATTAAACAAATCTTGAAATATTTAAAATGTAATATTCACTATATGACATGGTAAATATTTCTCCAATCACAACACAAAAGCCTTCAATCAACTATAAAGAGGAGAAATCTTGGGCATTGGAATGCCTATTTATGAGCAGTAGTAAGAAGTCTGACTGTCTTAACATTGATGACAAAATAAAATAGCATGATCCTTAGCATGTTCTAGGTAAAAAAAAACTGGCATGTAAGTATGTAAGAATTTACATGCAAGCTTTTCACAATCACAGATCAATCAGGCTTTAGGGGATATTGTAAAAGCATGTTTTCAAACGAGCACTTTAAAGTAGCAAGAGATAAACAATAGATCATAGAATAGTTTCAGGAGAGACGAACTTTTGATGAATGTGCTCTACTGCCTGCTCTGCTATTTGTTCATAGCAAGTGGATATGTCTTGAATAAGTTCATTGACTGCTTCAATTACATCATGCTTCAGCTTCTTACCTCTTGAACCCTTTTCAACAGCTGTATCAAAGGATAACAAAATTCAAACTAAAAAAGATAAATGCAGTTGAATACCTAAATGCAGTTGAACACCAGAACAACAATGCCTTATTGGCATAGCAAGAAGGAACATTAACTGCATCTAAGTTATCTTAAAAAGCCTCATTTGTTTTGTAGCATATTTTTTGCATGTAAAAAAGGTGAAATGAAAAACAAAAAATAATAATAATTAGTCCATTGCATTTAAGCTTGAATTTCTGCATACCAAGAAAAACAAAATCTATTTTTTTATCAAAATACAAAAAGAATAATCGTGGACAATATCATTAACGTTATAACAATTCAAGGTCAATAATTTCTAGCCATCCTCACATCTACTTTTCCCTTCAGATTCACCCCCTGAGGAAGATGTGTGTGGAACAGCGGTTGACTCAGACGTATCCTCTAGAAGAGTTTGCAATGACGGGGGACGCAAGGTGCTTCTTGCAGCAGCTGCAACAGCAGCAGCAGATAAAACAGGATGATCATCTCGCTCCACATCATCTTCATCATCACTTGCAGCAGATATTCCCAAACCAGCCATAGCAGCTGTTGCAAGGGAAAGATCCTCCTCCCTTATAATGTGCAAAACACGCCTCACAATATTTCCAACAGCTAACTCTGCAATCACATACATAACAAGTTCTGATTGGCAAACAATAAACTAATCTCAATTCCCAAATCACAATAACCATGTGCATGTGACAGTAAAACATCCTTCAACATAAGGCAGGAGTAAATACACAAATTGGTTTATGAAGCAACACTCTATTTAATTCATAAAAGTTTTGCTTTGCACAATCTGATCTTCAAACGTGTTAACTTTTTCACATTTTGATTCATTTTGGAAACTAATTGATCCCTGAAAGTGTTGACGCATGCAATTTGGTCTCCAAATATATCAATTTTGCTTACATTTTACTCTTATTTTGCTTAATATTTTTTGTCAAAGAAGGACCAAAATGTGAGTAAGTTAACACATTTGAGGGCTAAATTATACAGAACGTCACTTTCAAGGATCAAATTAAATATTTACTCAGAAGCAAATAAACCTGAAAATACATACTTTGACTGCTATAAAAACATTGAACACAACAAACCCAAAATGCATATTTATTGTTTTTAAAAAAACAAAAAACCAAGCATACCAATAGGATTAGCAGCAATAAGCTGCTCCCCCACAGCCCTTACAGCATTAATCAGAGCTGTGGCCTGGTTTGTGTGTGGCACCCGCTGCTGCGAAATCACAGCCCGGAGCAACTCTGCTGCTTGCTTTGCTGTGGCCTGAGAACCTTCAATTTTACTACCATCGCACAACAAAATAAATAGCTAAATAAATACAAACCAAAAATATTCATAAACCACACAACACACACACTCACATGGAGAAAACATCAAAAATCAGTTCCTAAAACCCAAAACTCACATGATAGTTCCTATTACACTATTCGTTGAACTCAGACAGTATCAGAGAATAAAAAGTTACCGTTTCTTAAGCTGATTCACAAAATCATTAACAAGGGCTTGAACATCCGGCATTTGGGGCAACCTGAAAAGAATAGTCATTAAGAAAAACGAAAAAGGATTTTACTTTAAGAGAATACAAGTAAAAGGGTAACCTAAAGTAGCATTACAATATGATGGGTCTTTAATTTTTGGGTTTGAATTTTGAGAATCGACTTTATTCCCAGTTGCTTGCGCTTTTATCAGTTCACAATTCGTGGAATCCGATAGTCCAGGTTTCAACCTGGGATGCGTTCAGAAATAACATCACACAAACATTTTTTCTTTAAAAGAAAATAACTATTTTTTAAACCAAAAAAGCTATGCACGTGATTGGGATTCTTCCGCAACCTAATCGAGATGAATCCGATTTACAAATTAACCTCCCTAGTGAAAATTTTAAAAGAAGCAACTTTTATAAAACATAGTAGATATTTTATATATTTTATTTGATGAAAAAATTAAAGAGATATGATTTTCAAAACTAAAAAATATAATGAATTTTTTGTGATAATATAAGGTCTCGTTGCTAGTTACAAGTATGGGATTTAAAAAATAATTATACATAGGAATATGGCCACTCCCTAATGAACAAAAAATAAAACAATACTCCAAAGTATATATGGAGTTTAAGGGTTAGACCTTAAGACACTATTTTTATCATCTTTTTCTTTCTTTTTTATGGTAAAAACTATTTCTATCATATAAAGGATCAAAGCAATTGAAAGATACAATTTGGGCCAAAAGATTAGCCCACACTTCAATCGCTTAGTCTCCAAATGGTCTCTTCAAGTGAGGGTAACAAAAACATGTACACATCAGACAAGGGTCTAGCGTGGATCTATTTAAGAGCCGTCTAAAGTCTGCAAAATAGACAAACTTTACTTTATTTTATATGGATTTTTCGGAGCTTAATTCAACTGAGTCTAAATAGCTCGAATTAATTTTAATTTTTAAAATTCAAATTTTATATTTTATTAACAATTTTAAGTATGTTCATTTTGTCAACTCTATTCCTATTATCGAAATTTAACATGTGCAAAAATTTTTCAACAGCAACCACAAATCACAAGTAGAATTTGCCTTTTTTGAACTTGGAACATCTTGTGTGGTCTCTAACTTCGAATTTTTTTTTTAAATTTAGATTAAATAAAATTTACTTATTTAAAATTAAACTCAAATTAAGAATATTAATATTATAATAATATTAAATTTTGATTTATTTTAAAGAAGAAATATTTAATGTTATACCATCTATTTAAGATTTAAATTTTAAATTAAATTTAACTTTAAAATACAAAATGGTATGTAAAAGAATAAAAATTAACCCAAAAATATATATTTTTAATGTTGGAAAAATGAGGTGGTGTAATCAATAAAAAATTAATTCTCAAACATATTCTCATTATTTAATATAATAAATTATTTACATAAAAAAAAATTCTAAACACATTTGGCAAGAAATTTTGAAGTGATTTGTACCTAAATTTTAAAGTATCTACAATGTAACAAGTTTAAATAGATTAGTCTATTTTATTGGCTCTAGTGAGAATATTTTTAGGCGTTAATTTTTACCTCAATTATGTCACGTGACTTTTTATGTGTTAAATAATTTGTTTAATTTGATCTTAATTTAAATTTATATATTTTATAATTTTTAAAATTTATCTTTTTAATTTAATTTTATTTAGTATGATAAAATATTTATTATTAATAATTAAATTATATTTTTATAAAATTTATTTATGTTAGCAATGCATAGAAACTTGCTAACATAAAATAATGCAACTATTTTGATCTAAATAATAAACAAATTGACATTACAAAATTTGATAACACACAAGCAAACTTTAAAAGTTGACACAATAGTCTTTATCTCATGATTAAGAGAGAAATTTTGTAAGAATGAAATGTTTTTTTATTAATAAAGGTATGACACAAATTTTAATAATGTTGTTTTCATTTGCAAAAATTAAATGCAATATTTTTAGTTGGTGTTATTCTCTAATTAAAATTGATGTTTTATTTTAATAATCTGCATAATAAAAGCTATTATTAAATATCAGCACACTAGTATTTAAGGTCTATAAGAAGGGTAAGTTAGAAGTGTAATTTTTGTATATGACAAAATTTAAACTGGTTCTTCATGTATCATGCTACTCTAACTTACTACTAAACTATCAAGACAAAGATAATAATGACATATTTTTTTGTATAAGAAAGGGAGATGGAGATTAAAGAAAGGGAATAAAGGTGTAAGTTTTGCATATGATCGACTTTGAACATTGATCCTTACATGTCATATCCTTTTAACTTACTATTAATTTGTAAAAGAAAGGACTTAATAATGAAAATTTTAAGTTTAAACTATTTGCAATGTGTATAGAATGAATAATACATTCTAATTATCTAATAATTCTTTGTAGATTACAATTAATTATTGTTTTGTTTTTCATAAAAATAGATTATTTCATGACCCAAATTGAGTGTCTGAGTAAGCCTAATAATTATCTTTGCATGTGATTGTCTATATGTTTTGGTTGAAAGTGAAAAATAGATGGAGTTAATGAAGAATGCACTGTGTAGAGAGATTTATCTTTTTAAAGGAGATAATTTCTTAGTCCAATGTGCATATGGATTAATCCACTTAAGGTATTGACTTGAATAAATAACTTTGATTTGTGTACTCTACACAAAGGAAAATGTACTATTTTACTAGTCTCACTCAACTATATCTTGTCTTATAATATATTTTGATGCATTTATATTTTGTCTTGATGATAAATTTTTTCTTTTTATGAACAATTATTTTTCCTTCATTAAGATCTCATTGGATAAACAATGGCAAATGAAAGCCAAATTTATAATTTTTGTTGAGAATTATTTATCTTGATTTAGTTTTACGTAAAAAGGAATTTTTGGCTTAATGAGAAAGGTTTGATAGGTTTAGTCATATTGTTATCAAGAGGACTATCTTTAGACATCTTTTGAGTGGGTTTTTGAAAATGAGACAACTAAGAAAAAAAAAGATAGTATAGTTCATGAATGTCTAATTTTTAAAGTTTGATGCAGTACACCTATTATATCATTCAATGAGATTAATGTCCTATCATCTAATATTGTTCTTTGTCATTGCATATATGTTCTTTCTGTTATTATTCTGATAACTATTGTAGTTGAAAATGAAGTTAATTAGTGTATTTATCCTAAGTGGACTAAAAAGTATGTGCTTGTATATATGAGAGTTGACAACTTAAAGATTATGGGTTACACATATTTAGATATTGAAAGGTGCTCTAGTGATAGAAATTAACTTCAAGATACATCTTTATAATGGTTGAAGGTTCTATATCTAATAAGTCTAAGAAATCAACTATTATGTTCTTCTACTTTATTAGTAAAATTTATTTCTTGTTATGTTGACTCTCATGTTGTTTGTTAAGAAATTTGGTCACAAGACTTTATATTTTAAACTTTATTATTAAACCATTGAATACTTATTGTGATAATAAAGTGTTCTACACAAATAATAATAAAATTGCTAATGGTTCTAAGAATTAAAATGGAAGTATTTGACTATAAGAGATTTTGTGAAGAAAAATGATATAGTTGTTAAGTATATTAATATATAATTTAAGTTAAATGATTCCTTAACTAAGAATTATAAAGCCTATGATATTAATACATTATAGTTTAGGTGTAATTGTAATTTTGAGCTCAATATCATTGGAACTACTATTCTAGTGGTCAATACTATTTGGAGATGAGATATGACTGTTTTTCGAAAGACCATATAATTTCCCTAGCTTTAAGACTTCTAAGAGAAATTGTAAGGAGTGACAAAAAAAATGATGCTTTAACTTTTGGATCATATCAGCATATCATTTTTTTGCTACATTCTACATTAATGATTGATCGATAAAGTTGATAATATTTGTAATTATAAAAAGTCCTATATCGTATAATATACAACGGTTGTCATGATTTGATACTATTTTACTTTAATTGAACATAGTCATCTTTAGATATTGCACCATCATGTGTTCTCTAAAATGTAACCACATTATTAAATTAATCATTAGCTCGAGAGTCATTTCATAAACTATTTTTTAATTAAAATTATGCAATTGGTTTTGTCCAAGTAAGAAAATATTAGAATTATTGAATAATTCTTTATGGATTGTAATTAATTATTATTTTGTTGTCAATAAAAACAAAGTAATTTGATGATCCAGATTGAGTGCATGAGTAAGCCTATATAATAATTAATTTTCAATGATATGTTTGTTTAGGTTTAGATATGTAATTTATTAGTATGGATTGAATTGTAGACTTTAACTCAAATATCTATGATAGGAAGGAACTAGGATTAATACTTTTTATATTTAGTTAGATTCTTCTATAGTGACCAAGAATCGTATAGTCACACCTTCACAACTTGCCCTGTTGATAGTTGGAATTTGGGAGAGTGAATTATTGAGGAAGGTCTAGCCTATTAGTTGTCATATAATTTAGAAATCAAGTATGATAAATTTTATTATAAAAGTTATATCTTCAACGAGTAAGTCTAAAGTTTTATTAGTGGTATTTTTAATTCTCTTTAGTATTCTAATTTCATATAATCTTATGTGAATAATATTTACTCACATAATAACCCATAATTATGGATCAATCGATGATAGAACAGATATTAAGGTTGCAAGTAAAAGCTCTAAGCAATTGACCTGTATTATTATGACCAATCATTCCATAAGTCATTAACAAAGAAGATTGAAGAATAGATCCATTAGTGTTTATTCTACACAACCTTTGAGTAGGAAAGCTTCACTAAAATCAAGTAAAGCTAGATAACTCTCTTGATCTTGACAAACAAAACACTATCGTAATATCTTTCACCTCTTTCTAAGGACAAAAAAGAAACTAAGGAACAAATTTAATATCTCCATCAAATATTTATAAAAACTAAGCATAAAGGACTCAAAAGGATATGAATATCAAAATTATAAATCATCTCAAATGCACACTTTAAGAAAAAGATCAAGCATATGATACCTTAATAGTGGATGGTAGCAAAATATGAGGAGAAGAGAATCTATATTTGTTGCAACCGCGGTCAGATGAGACAGCGATGACAAGGAGTCGTCACCAAAGTTTATTAAAGAAAACATTAAAAAAAAAATTTAAAAAATCTTCGAAATCAGATTTAGGCTTGGGAGTCATTTACGTTTAAGAAAGATATTAACACCTTACGACATCCTTTAATTAAAATGTTATTATTCT